GAAATCAGAGAGCAGCTGCAGTCCCAGCTCCAACCTACGTGTGTTCATCTTTAGCAGAGCCCCTGCAAGGACAAATGGATGCCTATGTGATGGTCCTCTGCACACAACTGGGGACCCAAAAGGAGGTACGTACTTTTTCACACAGTTCATGGCTAAACTATGGGGCTCACTTCCACAGGATGTAATTATGCCCAGGAGCTAGGATGGCTTTAAAAGAGGATTACACAAATTACGGTAATTGAGGATAAAAGGTAAGGTAAAGGACCTCTGAACAGTTAAGTCCAGTCAAAGGCGACTATGGGGTTGTGGTGCTCATCTCGCTTTCAGGCTGAGGGAGCCGGCATTTGTTCACAGACAGCTTTCCGGGTCGTGTGGCCAGCAGGACTAAACTGCTTGTGGTGCAACGGGACACTGTGACAGAAACCAGAGCACATGGAAATGCCGTTTACCTTTCCACTGCAGCAGTACCTATTTATCTACTTGCACTAGCGTGCTTTCGAACTGCTAGGTTGGCAGAAGCTGGGACAGGGACGCCTTCGCACGGATTTGAACCACCAACCTTCTGATCAGTAAGCCCAAGAGGTTCAGTGGTTTAGACCACAGCGCCACCCACGTCCCTAGGGTAAGGCTGCCATTGGCAACTAACTATCATGGCTACATTCTCCCTCCAATGTTGGAGGTGGTATGTCTCTGAAGATCATTTGCTAGGGGTCACAAGTTTTACGGCTTCCTGCAGGCATCTGGTTGGCCACTGTGAGATGAGGATCCTGGACAAGATGTGCCTATTTTGTAATACTAAGCCACTGAAACAGACTTAAGTTTAGTGCCACTGTAGCAGAAGTGGGAATTTGCTCTAGTTGCTTCACAACAGCCCCATATCAACACCTGTGAATCACAGCTCATTACTGGTAAAGGAACAAAGCAAAATGTATGCTTTGAAAGAGAACTGGGCGAGTGTTCAGTGTTCCTGGCTGCTCTCTAAATGGGATACAGCTTTGGGAAGCTTATCCACATAAAAGAAATAATTAGCATTCCTCCAGTAATAAGTGCCCAGCCACATTTCATACCACTAGCTCAGACGTTTGCGTGCTTCCAGTCCGAGCATGATAAGCTTCAACCTCGAAGCTGCCAAAACCCAGCAGGTTCCACAGCAGGCGTAAAGAGAGCTGACAATCCAAAGTGGCTTTCGTTTGTTTATCCTTCAAATAATATCAATTCAGGATTGAATGCACTTCATGTGCACCAAAGCTGAAAGCACCGTAACCCAGAAAAATGTCATCTTCTCTGCTCTGGCCACTGGCAAGAGGCAACCTTCATTCCCAGACAAGACGGTCAGCTCAGAAGGATACCCAGATTGTGTCACAAGCTGGAAAGAGGTCCAGGAGACTCAGCAGGGTCACACTCCCCCATTTCCTGGTAAAGATACTCAAAGAGGGAGACCAAGGTGATTCCTGTCCCAAACTCACCAAGAGAAATCTGGATGGAAATGGGCCCAACTAATCTGCAGCATCCAAGGGTAAACAGAACAGGTACCATTATCCATGTGAACATTGTGACCTCCCACACAGCAAGTTTTAGATCCCTTTAAGATAGGGGTGGGAAACCAGAGGTCCTCTGAGTTGTTGTTGGACTCTCATCTACCCAGCCATTCTGGCCTATGGTGAAGGATGGTGGGAGTTGTAGTCCAGCAACGTCCTGGGGGCCACACTATAAGGAAATTCTGCCCTTGGTATGTTCATTTTCCACCTCCCCATTTTGATTCTCTGGCCCCATATCTGCACAAACTTGTTATCCCAAAATACAGGCGTGCTTTTACACTTGCAAGACTGGATGCTTTGCCACCTGCGGTACTTGAGGGTCAATTCCAAAAGATCCCGCCTGAGAAACGTCTTTGCCCCTGTGGAGATGGTAGCACCGAAACAGCGGCACACGTCCTCCTGTCTTGTACGCTCTACAAAGACCTGAGGAACGAGATCATCACCCCACTCGTACTAACCATCCCAGGGCGCTCAACCACTGCCACAATGTTCTTTCTTCTATCAAAATGAGCAGATAACAGCAAAGGTTGCTAGGTTCATAGCAGGGGCAATCAGAATAAGGGCCACTAACTGATGGCTGATTCAGGACTTTAAATTTTGCTCTTATATCAAATTTCCTTTTTTGCGTATACTGTGATGTTTTACTGTTGCTATGGCCATTGGCTAATGAGAATAAAGTTTTATCCTATCTATCCTGAGGGCCACAGGTTTCTCACCCCTTCTCTAAGGAATCTAAAGAGGTTTCTTCAGCAGTGGCCAAACCACCAACCACTTCCAAAAAGGATGGGTAGCATATAATCTCTTCCCAGATTTTTTAACTGCCTATCACCAAGAGGTCGCAGGATTTAAAAAGAGAATGTTAAAAATGGTTAAATCAGTTCCTGGATGCTACTATTTAGTCTTCCCATGCTAGAGTCTTCCTGTGAGCACGGATCAGATAAGAACGTGGTAAGCCAGTGGTGAGGATCTTGTGGCAGGTGGTTGGATTCCAACAACCATCATTCTCAGCAAGCATGGCTAATGGCAGGGTTGATGGGAATTGTAGTTTAGCGACATATGGAGGGGTACACCAGAACCCGGTTCACCAGATTACGAGTCTACTGCTCTTAACCACTACGCCACACTGGTGTAAAACATACAATCTTAGAGTTGAAAGGGACCCAAGAGTCATGTAACCCAACTCCCTGCAATGCAGGAATCTCAGCTAAAGCATCCATGACAGATGGCATCAATACATCTTTCTACATACATCAAGAAACGCTGCAGGTCATGGGATATAAACATGCACGGCAGTCCTTCTTTTAACTGGTGGTTCGGTTAGAACAACCACGTTAAGTTTGGCTGTCCTACTGCGCTGTAGTTTCATAAACCGTCTACCTACAGGATCTGTTGGGCTTGCTGTTATTTTCTTGGTTCTCTGTGGTTTTTTTTTTTAAAAAGGTGTTTCCTCACCTGGGTAATGAACAAGTGATGTAGCAATAAATTCTTACCACAGTGGGATAGATGGTAAAAATAATCTGATATAGAATAATGCTGCTTCTTTTGTTCCCTATATATAATTATTCATAAATATTGTTTTCCTTTATGGGTTATCTTTTTTAAAAAAAAATACACCTTCCATAACTTTGAGGCTGCCTACATGCAGTGTGAAATGCTTTGAAACAGGCAATCTAATTGGTGCTTCCAGGTAGGTGTTAATGTGAGATTGGTGTGCCACATACATGCAAACTTTTTTGCAGCACCCAATCAACACCATTGGCATCCAAATGCTAGCACATTCCCCACCCCACTCCAATTTATAATTATAATAATAATAATTTATTATTTATACCCCGCCTATCTGGCTGGGTTTCCCCAGCCACTCTGGGCGGCTTCCAACAGAATATTAAAATACAATAACCTATTAAACATTAAAAGCTTCCCTAAACCGGGCTGCCTTCAGATGTCTTCTAAAAATCTGGTAGTTGTTTTTCTCTTTGACATCTGCTGGGAGGGCGTTCCACAGGGCAGGTGCCACTACCGAGAAGGCCCTCTGCCTGGTTCCCTGTAACTTGGCTTCTCACAGTGAGGGAACCAGCAGAAGGCCCTCAGTGCTGGATCTCAGTGTCTGGGCAGAACGATGGGGGTGGAGACGCTCTTTCAGGTATACTGGGCTGAGGCCGTTTAGGGCTTTAAAAGTCAGCACCACCACTTTGAATTGTGCTCAGAAACGTACTGGGAGCCAGTGTAGGTCTTTCAAGACCGGTGTTATATGGTCTTGGCAGCTGCTCCCAGTCACCAGTCTAGCTGCGGCATTCTGGATTAGTTGTAGTTTCTGGTCACCTTCAAAGGTAGCCCCACATAGAGCGCATATGGGTGAAATTTAATCCAGGTTTCCCATTTCTGGGTGAAATACAGCCAGTTAAAAAGCCTCTTGCCAGGACTATATGGAACTGGCAGAAATGACTGGCAGAATCCGAGACCAGGGAGAAGAGTCGGTGGAAGAAGATTGGAAGAAATTTAAAGACTATCTACAGAAATACTGCAAAATTAAAAAGTGGTTTTTAGCAGCAATGTTATAAAGGAATATGTAAAAATGGACTGTTAACAGGTGATAATCTAAAGTTATAATATATTAAGATAAAAGATTAAGATAAAATCAAAGAGGGAAAGGATTTGCTGAATTAACTAATTTGAACTGGAATACAAAAAAGGGAGGTGTGAGGAGGTCAGGGAAACAAGCAAATGAAAGATAAGATATGAAAAGACTAATCTGTTTTTTAACTGTTTTTATCTTGTATTTTCATTTTCTATTTTTTTCTCTTTTTTTTCTTTCTTTTTTCACTTATTTTTGTAATATGTTGAAACTTTAATAAATATCTTTTTTTTTTAAAAAAAAAAGCCTCTTGCCAGTGTCCCGTTTATGAGATCACAAGGACCTTCTTGCAATGTAAAGCTCCCATCTGGCAGCGTCCTCATTTTCATTGTTTACAGCTCCCAGGAAGATAGGAGGGGTAATTCTGTGCGGAAGAACAAAACTGCAGTAGTTTAACGTTATTCTTTCTTGGCACAGCTGGGTTTTTTCTATGGCAAAAGAGCAACCGGTGGCCAGTAATGTGGATCATTTAATGACTGTGCCTCTTCTCATGAACAGGAAAACATGTGTTTATCATATCATTGGACTTAGAGAGCCACATGTCTTGAGATGATTGCTCAAATTAAAAATTACTGTTTCCTGTGCTACATGTCACATTAACCACATCTTCACCAGTAAAAAGAGAGGCAAAAAGGCATCATAAAATCAGCATTAAAAGCATTTTCTTCTTGTTGTGATTGCCAGCAAACCTCTTTCACTCAATTAAAATGAATGATGGTGCAAGCCTTTGAAAGGGGGAGGCCAAAATACAAACTTCCCAGCTCAAAAAAGCCCGGCTCCATTCTGAATTAAATGCAGCCTCAAGCTGGGCTCAACTTAGGAGAAGAGGCATAGCTCAGTGGTAGAGCATCTGTCTTGCATGCAGAAGGACCCAGGTTCAATCCCAGGCATCTCCGGGTAGGGCTGGGGGAAAATCAGGGTGAAACCCTGGAGAGCCACTGCTTGTCATTGTAGACATTCCAGCGCTAGAAGGACCAAACTCCTAATGACTGCTGCCAGAGGCTTCACATTGCTTGTAGGATAGGATAGTGCACTGGCAGAGGCAATCTGGTGTCTATGTTGATGTGCTTCACCATACTGACCTCTCCACCGCCTTACCCCTTATTCTCCCAGTTAGCAACAGTGTCCCACCTGCCAGGAAGTTAGCCAGCTGCTTCCGGGACAGTTCTCTGATGGCCCATCAAATATAGAACTCTCCTATCTAAGAGAGTGTAAATACAGGGTTAGGATGAGCTGCAAGTAGGCAGGAGTTGCCATCTGTCTATCTTGGGAGAAGTCTGTTTTGGGAGAAGTCAAACTGCTGGAAGGTTGCATTGCCTGCCATGAATGTAGAGACTGATATGGGAGACATGTCTTGTTGCACATGGAGCAGATGAAGAAGTTTGGTTGTGCTGCTGCAGATGCCCCATGGCGTTTCTTCTCTCTGAGCTCCTCCCAGCAGTCATTGCTCCTCTGGTCACTGCTGTAGAGACACGACTTGACTGCCTGTCCTAGGCACTGCGGTCGTCCGCAAGCAATACCCATGTGGTGGGGTTGACGTTGGCAGCCTTCATGTCCCACTTCCATACATCTTTGTATCACATAGTTGGTCTACCAATGCGCCTGGTCAGTTCCCTGTAGATCACATCCCTGGGGATCCTGCCACCTTCTGTGGACATGACCAAGCCAGTGTAGATGTCGCTGACACAGGAGTGCAAATATGCAGGGATTGTGGACTTGGGAGAACACATCTTTGTTTCACTCCAGCCATTCCGAAAAGGCTTTGCAAAAGTGGGCTTTGGGGGCAGATTTGAAGAGAGCATTGGAAGTTCCTTGATGGATTAAGACTGGCTGATCCGTGCATGGAATTAGTAAAATATGTTGTGCCTTTTACACTTGATAAACTTCTTTCCCAGTGGCTTATTATCTTGAGCAATTTTAAGCTCTCCTGTTTTTGCTTCCATAATGCGAGCCATGAAGCTGAACATATTGAACTTCATTTATTAAAAGCCCATTTTTAAAAAATGAATGAAATGTCCCAAAGCCAAACCATTTTGAGGCAATTAATATATAAATCCACCTAGCCTGCCGCTTTAGCACGCAATACGTCATTTGAAGACACTGTTTTTCACTTTGCAATGGCTGCAAACCTATAGATGCCTCAGCCTATAAGTAAGTTTGAAATAGGTCTTATGGGTGGCTTTGTTGAGATGTTTTTCTCCCTTCAGGAGGAAAAATAAAATAAAAGCATTTATTGGGTTGCACAAAAGCTCCACTGAGATTCAAGCGGCTGCAGTATCAATGGGCTGGTGAATTTCAAGGAAACACACAATTCTTTATTTTAACCATCCTTTCCTGTATATGAATGTCTGCAAAGTGTATTTGATTTGGAAACACTCAAGAGTTTTTCAGACCTCCATCAATCATTTGAAGTGAACGCTGGAGAATTTGGGGGAAACCTAAGGGGGGGTGACATCATTAAAAGGACCTTGGAAAAATAATAATATAAAATGACAGGTGAGCACTGTTGGGAAATAAAATCTAAATTGATAACATATTTTGTCTCAATAATTATAACTCTTATAAACCCACAAATCAGTACAGACCTATTAAAACGCAGTTACTTGGTTACTTTTCCAGCTGCAGGACTTATTAGGAAGGCATGAATGAATCTAAGTGACAGAGTCAAGTGGTAATTACAGTAGACCCATCCTGTAATGTACTGCTAAGATTCTGTGTAATGCAGTCTTTTTTCTTTCTTTTTTTAAAAAAGCCAAACATCCTAATATTGTGGCAAGAAAAGTTGGATTCTGCAAGCTGTTCCACAAGCAGGTAAGATTGCAAGGGTGGATTAATTTGGATAATTTATCCTAGTTCTGTTGATCACGAGGAAGGGCGAGAGACACAACAGGGCAGTGGACCCAACCCTGGACACATGTCAATCCATCGCTCTGCCTTCTGAAGTTGACCAGTGCTTTATCCATAATTTTTCACATTTAGCTTTACAACCCATGTGACCAGAAAGAAAGTTAGCTCTTGTCTTTAGAATCCTAGAATCGTATATTTGTAGAGTTGGAAGAGACCCAAGGGTCATCCGTTCCAACCCCCTGCAATTCATATTGTTTGACATTTGTAAGAAGGAATATGAGGATGGAGGAACACGGAGGGATCTGAGCGGTAATTTGAAGGTGTGCATAAATTGTTTTCAAATATCTAAAGTATCTGGGTGCTCGGCTTTTGCTGTGATCTCTGTGTCATGGACAGTAAAAAGCATCAAAGCAAGGGCTAGGGTATGAGAGGTGCGGGGATAAATTCAATTCAGTTCCCCCTTAAAAATGAACCTTCTTAAGAAGCCATTTATTAATTGGGAAATAATTTGCACTTTCTGAAACATGTGAAGCAAAACACAGTCATTCTTTGAAAGATGTACTCCAAGTTTTGTGGTGCAGTTCTCCAGCCAAGCAATTTGTTAAAAAATATCCATACACTAAGCTAAAGTGTGCATCATCATCATAATAATAATAATGTGAAATTAAACTAGTGAAAATAACATACAATGTTTATTTTATTTTATTTATTAAATTTGTATATCGTCCTTAATTGGTAGATCTCAGGGCAGTTCACAGCATGCACTATATCAGGGAAAATATGCTTAGCAAAATATGTATTTTATGCAAAATTGAATACAAAAATTTGGCATATTAGAAGTTTGCGCTAAAAGGCTGGTAAACTTTCATGAGGAGTTAAAAAACACACACACAAATTGATGATGAGGAAACTGCATTTAAGAGAGGAAAAATGAGAAAAGGAGACAAATCAGAATTGATAGTTACTCCCATCTCTTTGTGAGGACAACTGTGATATCTCCATTTTGTAGGTCCGCAATTCATCATATCCAAAAAGAGTGGGCTTGTTTCAGCTTCTTCACTTAGCTTCTGAAGTTTGAGATTGAGCCCATTTCTCTAATGATGTTGGCAACGATGAACATTCAAAGGATGTAATCTTCAGCATGTTTAGTCTTTGGCCTCTAAGCCTGATTACTTAATTCTTTGCAGCTGTGTGGTAGATGAAATCTGTTGACTAGCAAAGCACCTCTGAACCAATAGCTTTCGCTTCTTCCTCCTCCTCCAATATTTGTTCTCTTTGCAAATCATATTTTGGCAGCTATGGATATGTGGCGGCGAGTTTTTGATTTTTATGGGCAATTATGAGCTGTGCTTTATCACCACTTTCCATGAGGGTTTTGTCATCACTCTCCACAAGAATATATTTTTTGTGGGGGGCTTCTGAGAAAATTTTCCCTGCTTTAATTCCACAGATGTGGTAATCAGAAAGGTCAGTGGATTCCTGAGTCTGATTTAACAAAGCGTTGTGCTATGTCAATAAAATACTGGCTGTCTTGATAGACGGGATCTCATACTCAGGATCTTCTGCTGGGTGCATGCGAAAGAGCAGATCCAAAATCTTGAGCAAGTTCCTATGGTAAGAATAGTGACTAAAAGAAGTGGGGGGGGGGATGTTCTACAAACATTTGAAAGGAAATAGTAGTTTATGAAACACAAAAGCCATTTTGGATATTGTTGCATGAGGAACAAAGTTCTGTTGGTACAGCCTCCTGCTCGCATCATTTATGGAGCTTGCAAATATTAATTTGCCTTTCCTATCTCAGAAATACACACCGGAAAGATATTGTCCTTTAGATCAGTCTTCCCCAAGCTGATGCCCCTTTGTACAAGAACATGCATCAGATTCGGCCAACATGACTAACGGTCAGGGATGATCAGAACCGTAGTCTGGAGCAACTGGAATACACCAGATTGGAGGAGCAGATCATGCCCACTGAAGATACAGTCCTGACAAAAAGAATAAATTTTGTCTAGGAAAGAAGTTCTAGGAACCCAAGCAAAGAAATGAGCTTTAGGATGGCAAAAGCTACTTCATTCTCATAGGTTTCTGCCTTCTACCTTTGGTCCATTTGTAGCTTAGCTTAGCATTGTCTACTTCAGCCTTTCCCAACTTCAGTTCCCCAGATGTTGCTGGACTACAATTCCCATCAGCCTCAGCCAGTGTGGCCCAATGGTCAGGGATGAAGGGTACGGTAGTCCAACAACATCTTGGATAAGAGAAAGGACTTCTTCAAGCAGCACATAGTTAAATTATGCAACTCGTTCCCACAGATGGCCCATTGATGGTCACCAACTTGGATGGCCTTTAGACAGATTTTTGGAGGAGAAGGCTATTAATGGCTCCTAGCCAAGATGGCTAAGCTCTGCCTCTGTGCAGCAATGTTTCTGAATACCAGTTGCTGGAAAGCAAAGGAGGGGAGATGGCTCTTGGGCTTGAGTTCTACTTGCGGGTTTCCCACAGGGATCTGCTTGGTCACTCTGTGAGAACAGGATACTAGACTAGGTGGGCCATTGGCCTGATGATGCAGCAGACTCTTCTGATGTTGGGGTCTAAAGGTTTGGAAAGGCTGGTCTCCACTGACCTATCTCCCAGACCTATCTAGAGATGTTGGGTGTGGAGCCCAAGACCTTCTGTGGGCAAAGCAGATGTTCTTCCACCAAGCTCTGGCCCTTCGTCATTGTAAAACCGTCAGCACGGTTTGTGGTTGCAGTTCTGAAGTGGTAGAGGGTCCCTCCTACCCCGACTGCAAACATCTATATTTTGTTGGCAGCTTATTGAAGCGTCCTTCCAAAATGGGCCAATGTTGAAATCTTGGCCCACCAGACTGCGTTTCCTGTGCAGGTTTTCCTCTCGGCTGAGGTTACCAGACACGTGGGGCTCCGGCGCATAAAGGCTTCATTTTATAAGGCAAATGGTAAAGTTATGTGGTGCTGCTTGCTAGACCAGCCCTGCGAAAAGCACGTAAAATCAGAGCAGGGGGAAAGAACTCAGTCTGGCAGCTGTGAAAACT